ATKRTCTCGCCATGATAACCGACTAATTGATGCCTAAAATTTTAGCTAGTGATCTCATCGACATTTGGTTTGAAAAGACGGCGCCACTTCCCACACATCACATTAATCAACAGATTTGTTGAGCGAACACGCTACGATTCAGGCCTTGGAGCAAAACATTACACTTGTCATTCGCTAGTTACCTGCCAAAATGCTCAGACGAGTCATCGAAAGTTGGATTCCATCGAATCCTAGCCGCGACCAACAATTGAAAGAAATAATCTTCTAAAAATAAATGCCAAAGTGTGTTCTTTCGAATGATAATACAATTTTTTAAAAATAAATTTGAAGTTTCTGTGATTTTTTCTAGGGAACTAGCGAACCTCGAACTGCATCACCATTTACATATTGAAAATATTTTATATTATATGCGATAACATATTTGGAATTTATATTCTAACTATTCATGTCTCACCACTAAATATTTCTATAAACTAGTTAAACAATGACTGTCTGGTTAATCGCTTTAACAGGGCAAATAAGCATCTGAATTCTAAACTCTGCCGATGCAGCGAAATCCAATGGCCCAACTTCGCTGCAAACGCTAGTCAGTACACTGGGCATGTGTACCTCTGGCTCGATTTATGGCACAGTTGCAAATTGATTCTTTGTCGTTATCTTGTGGCACTGAGATATCACTGCTCCATCACCATTACCATCATCATCATCAATCTCTGCCACAACTATTGTTTCTATATGTTATTTGCAAACTTGTGGCCACAAAGTGCAATTTGATAGACAATATAGACAATCTAGAGGAGAGAGCGTGTATGCGACTTCGACGAAGATCTCTGCATTTCAAATACAACATTGAGTGACTTTACGGAATTTATATTATGAGACAAAAGAAAATTGATATTTTTGCAAAGGCGATGCGACTGATTTTATGAGTTTGCGAAGTGTGTGCGCATTGTTTCCTTGCTTTGCAGCTTTGGAGTGGGCTGTAACGGGTATGTAGCAGTATGTATTGCCTCGCTGTTGCACTGCTTGCAACGGCCAGCAAGTGAATTTGTATTGTGTTTGTGTATGTAGCGTTGTGGCATCACTCAAACCCGCTGAACAATAAAATGAAATCAATACGATTGATTGCGATTTTTCGAATAGAACTTTGTGTGATKTGGTATGTACATATGTATGTACGTGAATAAGTCACAGAAGTGTTGCTTTGTGTCACTAAATTTTATTGAATCTTATTTCCAATTTATTTCTCGAGAGTTTTGTATGCTCGTTTAATGTTTCATATTTATTTATATTTAATTTCTTTGCTTTTGTTTTGATTTGATTTTATTGAGAGGCGAATATTGCGGAGTGGAAAATATTGATATGCACACTTTTTTGTACGGCCATTAAATTGTTTTGAAAATATAGCGGTGATATTTCTCAAAGTGCTCAAGTTACAGTGCATGTGGTTGTGTGGTCCTATGAAATAGTAAGGCAAGTATGAGTTCGGGTGCGTGCCGAACAGTAGAGACGTATTAAAATCGTGTGTATTAAAGTTGTGTGGCATAGTTCGAGAGGTCTACAAAGCGAGATTTTCCTTATCTCTGGCTTTGCGGAGAGACAATTGCCCACTGCTGTCATTCCAAAAGTCACCAAATCACAAAAATTATGCTCGGTGCAACATTGGTACCCCAGTATCAAATGTTAATATGGTTGTGAATACATCTGTCTATAACGCAGCCGGGAACGTGATGATATAGCACAAATGCGCGCTCACGCATGCAATAACCAAACAATTGACAATACAATACACCCATACAAAGGCACACACACACACACACACACGCATTTACAGCTGCAGACTCATCGCTATAAATGCAAAAATTGATGCATTATTGGCTACAAGTATGCACAAAAATATTCAATTGACGCATGAAATGGCACGGCTCTATGGAAGCGCGCACACACACAGAGCATGTGCATATGGTCTTTGTGTGGAGTCTCTCAGCCATGAGCACAGTGAAGCCAGCCAGCGCCAGCCAGCGCCAGCCAGCGTCGAACAACAGCTGATACACACCGACACCGAAAATCAAAAAACACTGTGAATAGTTCGCAATGGCTGGTTTGGCACTGAATGGCGTGTACGCAATCAGCCTTCCGTCTGGCAGCACTGCGAATGCTTGATGGTAGAAATGGAAATGGAAATAAATTCAATGGTCAATTTATTTGCAGTTTCGTTTTTCACATTGTCAAGTTGGCCTTGCGTAGCATGTCACTTACAAACCATTTATTTTTCCCTTCCGTTCCCTTACTCGCGCGGCGCTTTCGTCTCGCCCGCTTTCCCGGTTTCTTGCACATTTGTTTGGTTCGGTCGGTGTGGTGCGGTTTGGTTTCTGTTTTGTTGCGGTAAATGTCGTTATTCATGTTTTGCTAGCATCTTTTTTGTCAGCTCTTCGCTGTTAATATGTATGTATGGCTCTGTGGATATTATGTTTTTCACTTATTTTATTTATTTGAGGCATTGAGTATTGTCTTCCGCTGAGTGCATGATTTGTAAAGCAAATTGCTCGTGCTCTGGCCCTTGTACAATGAGGTAAGTAATGGTAATACATACATATCTACATATTGTTGCGTGATTGCTTTGGCTCCTATCATATTTCAATTTGCTGCTGCATAGAGTGCCATGAATAAATTTATTGATACTCTTGTAGAAGTTGATGTAAATTTTTGTGGCAAAAACGCTTCCATTGCCACAGCAGACGTTCATTATTTTATTTCAATTGGTTTTATAACGATATTTCCCAACTCAACTACTTGATTGATTTTAGGTGCGTCAAAATTAAATTGCTCTGCTCTGCCCCATTGCCAAGAAGCACTCTTCGCAAAAATTCGTATTTAATCTTCTGTGGGCGGCTTAAGAAAGTGGCAGACTCTAATTGATTGTTGGTATCATTTCGGTAGCTGCTTACCTGCTGAGAGGAGTTGCGTGGTACTAAAAATGTTAAAAAGACTAATTGACTAATGAAATGCCTGGAGAGCTTTCGAACTGATGAGTGTTTAATTATAACTTCCATTTAATAACATGGTTATAGGAATTATGAAAACAGAGCTGAAGGAGAGAAACACTGAGCTTCTTTACGGATGGTTCAAAGCTTGGGAGGAAGTTTGGTGGAGGGGTTTACGGTCGGTAGTTCTCTATCAAGCCCAGTTTCGACTCCCTGACTATAGAAGGAGTGCACTCATGAACTCATTAACAATGCGTTCTGGGTTACTCAGGGAATGTCTAACCTCCTTATCAATTCGCGTTAAGACTGGTATGGGAGCCAGGCATAGCGGAGTCGCCGGAAGGAAAGACACCCTAAAACCTAAATAGGTGTGTTTCGCGGGAGCCTGGTCAGTGCTGTGCCACCAACGGTACATGCGCTATCGCAAAATCCTTTTGGCTCATGATCGATCCCAAGAGATCTATTGATCCAGTGATCTCTTTTCCCTCAGTAAGGCTAGCCTTGTTTTGTTGTGAGTGTTTTAACAGGACATTGCCTTATCGGCGTCTTTGCTGTAAGGTTGAGCAYCTTACCAGACGTCATCCACAGAGGCTGTAAGGAAGAGGTCGAGTTGGAAACATCTCAACATTTCCTTCTTGGCTGTCTCGAGTTGTTGAAATGTCAAAGATTAAACACTTGAGAGCGCATCTCTTCAGACATCCCATCGAACTAGCGGGAGTTCAAATTAATCAGATGTTGAAATTTGTATTGGCTTGTGCTTTGCGAATTTACAAGATCGAACACAGGAGTTCTTCTTTTCAAAGCTTCACAAAGGACTACATATAGCAGCTGAAGTGCGATCTCTCTAAATCATCCAACCCAACCTAACTTAACATAATAATAGAGCAGGACGCCGGCCTTTCTCAGTATCATGTCGGTTGTTTATTTTTGAGCCATAAATAGCCTTCACCTAGCTGGGGGAGGCTCTAGTGCTGTGGAACCCTGCTACACACAAAAGATAATACCGACGTCGCAAATATGGTAAATTTTATGTCAGTCCTGAATAACACTGTTTGGACTGCTTTTACTATTAATATAGGACAACTTGTGATTACTTTATAACAATTTACGACAATTATGCGTATGTCGGGAAATAAAGAAAAGTTTCCGAATATGCAGTGTATTGACTTACCCATCAGCGCCGAAAGCCTTCAGCTCACGATCCAATGTTTCCTTGACATTTTGCTGCGAATAAAGTCCCATGGGGGAGTTGAATTGTTTATGAACCAATTTACGTTGAACGGTGGCCATCGCGTATGGATTCGGGTTTTTTATATTTTCTTTATTGTTTTAGAGTTATTAGACTTTTTTTACTAACAAGTTTGTGAACTCTTCACTGTTTTCTGCTCAGGATCTATTAATTTGACCGGTTGCGTCGAAAGAAAAAACGGTTTTAGTTAAGTGAATAAATAAGTATTAGTGGGGTTATTAGGTAGGCTGGGGTTTTTATGTAGATTCTTGTATATCGAGGAAGTAAAGAGTTAAAGAGAGTTAAAGAGAATCAAAGAGTTAAATCGATGCAATCACCGCTTTTCGAACCAAATAAAAACGGTGGAAAGGTTATTTTTGTTTTGTGGAAAATAGTTTTTCCAATTAGCAGAAATATGTCACTAATAGGTGGTGATAACGGTACAATTAGTTGTGAATATGTTTAAAAATGTGTTAGAATTTATGGAAAAAAGTTGATTAAAGCTGAAAACTTTGTATCGAATTTAGTGAAATTGTTTCTGAATTTTTGTTTGTATTTTGGTGAATTGTATTTTTTTATTTTGTTTTTCAAATAAGCGAGTGCATTTCGGTATCTCCCGTTGTAGGTGTTTTTGAATCTCTGTGTGCTTTCTATAAAATTATACAATTGTTCTCTCTGTGTTTGTTGTTGTGTTGTTTTCACAAATATTTTTCACTACTTKTGTGTATGTACTGGCTATTTGGCTTTGTATTTCGTTGTTGTTTCGAAGATCGTCGGGTGATTCGCTCTGAAAGGATAAAAATAGAATATTGTATTTATTAAATTGGTTGAGACACGTTCAATCATTCAAACACAACAACAATTTTCCATTATATACATATGTGTTATAGATGAAGTGTGTGAGAAGCTTTTTGTTCTTTTATCCACAGATAACGACGACATTTGCAGAATAAGAAAAATATTTACAAAAATTGAGTATAACGTTTAATTAATGATGGTAATAAAATTAAATGAAATAATTAAGTGAACTGGTCCATTTGTATTTACGGACGGATAAAGCACGTTTATTGCGCTGAAAATGAGGTTACTATTTCCAACACTTTCAGCAGTCGGAAAACCTTCCTTGTAAGAGGCCGTTGTCAAGCGTCGAACAAAGAAATCATTCACTAACTAARGATTTGCTTAAGAGGCTACATGAAAGGCTTCCTCCGATAAAAACAGCCKTTTCCAACATTTTGTCTCATATAAAAAAATAAATATATTATTAGAGTTTTTTTTGTTACAAACACAAACTATTAACAAAGAAGTTTTGAAATTTTTGAAAAAAACAAAAAAAAAAAAATTTAAACTCGGCCATTGTGACGACGTTTCCGGTAGCCCCTAGGAAAAAATATGCGCCCGCAGGCAGGATAACTCCTGACAGGGCAATCTCTAGTGAAAAATACGTGTTCTAGTTAAAGTCTTAACTTAAAACTTGGACAAAGGAAAAAAAAACTAAAAATTGAATGTTCCACAGACATTAAAAAAAAAGAAGAAGTAAATTTCAGTGAAAATTTCACGATATTTTTTTTTCTAATATTGTAATCGAATAAATAAAATCCTTCATGCAAGCCTTTAAGGATTGTATCTCAAAACTCTGAGTAAAATTTCATGCAGATCGGTTAAGTAGTTATCGCCAAATCTGGCCAACCGACTTCAAAAAGACAGCTTCGAGAAAAACACGTTCAAAAACGGCGCTCTTAGCCTTAGCTTGGAGCGCACAAGTTYTCAAGGTTATATCGCCGAAACTTCTATTACTCAGATCAACTTGAAAGTTTAAAACAATAATTTAGTCAAATAATGGAAAATTCGAGTTTTTGAAACGCGTTAAATTAAGCGCCTGCTCCAAAGAATTAACTTTATTTTCCTCTCTTGTCACACGGAAATTTCGCTAAGTAGTGGAAACCCATTTTTTTTTGGTCAAAAAGGGCAATKTATACCATTTTCCATTCGAATAGTCTCCGCTCTCGCGCTTTCGGCGTTTTTGTATGTCAAGTCGCTCATTGTTGCTGCGCTGAATTGATACTTATTTTGATGAAAATTCAATTAAAATTATCGCACTGCCAATTAAATTAATCCACCTGCCAATATTGAGGCCCGCACAACAACACACACACACGCCTGCGTRTATAGTTACAGCCATGACACACGCGTGACGTGCTGATGCAATAAATATGCCAAGTTGTCAGTTGACGCTGCGCTCGGTGGCCGCCGGCTACTACAGGTGGTCCCTTTGAATTGCGTTGCACATTGTGTCGCATTCAAAAGTCCGTCGAATTGTTATTGCTGCGTAGGCCTCTCGTTTTGCCTTCATATATAGCCCACATGTGTATGCTGTGTGTGTTTGTATGACAGAGTCATGAACACAGCAATGCACACATGATGGCATACGCAAGCGCCGAACAAAAGCGGGTGGAGGCATGCATATCGCTTTTTACATTCCCAATTTATGGCGCGATTTTCATTAAATTGTTTTATAGAAAAATAATTGTTGGCCTGCGCAGCGTCATATTTTGTTGAGTTCATGCTTTATGAATGCACAATGAGTTATTGCGATCGCTTCAGCGATCATAAAAATAAACACATTCGAACACACCAACGCAGCTTGAATGCTTTATTGTGCAAACAAATCCTGATCGCACTGCGTTCTCATCGCTATCCTCAGTTATTTATATACACGCTTTGAGTTCAGTGYACTCAAAAGAAGTGCGTAACTTAGAAAAGGAACGTGAGCATGTTGGAAGTAAAGAAATCCTTAACACTTCTACCCAAAATAAATGAAAATGCGCCAGTGGAGTTTACGAGTACATCGTTCGCACGAGTACGCAACGAACGACCTGCTTACAGACCGCACACGCACACACGTCTGCCACACATGTATTAGAGCTGCTTTGTCCATTGCTGCCACCCATTCGCGGCGTGCCGGCTTTGTTCGTACACAGCTCGCAAGCGTATTTGCACACACATATACACACGCTGGCGCGCATTGGTTGCTTGCCACAACTGTGCGGTTGTCGCTTGTTGCACGAAAAGCTTGGCCCAAGGTATACACGACACAGCCAACGCGTGACCCGACAACGTGACAACTCATTTGCTTTGTAACATCCGCGAGGATCAACCTACCTAAACCAGCAACAAGAACAACATGCGCTGTGATGTAAGCACAACATCATCATCACAATTACAATTATCACCATTTCAGCTTGCATCATGGCCCTTATCATAAGTTTACTGCTCATCAACGCAGCCTCTGCGCCACGTAAGGGAAGGCAGCAGAGGTTGGCTGGTTGCGTAAGCTGTTGTTTCTACTACTAGATGCTCAGATTCACACACAGACACACAYACTTACTACTAAACTACCATACTTGCTTGTACATACATATGTAGGAGCTGTCATGTCACGTGTRTGCGGCGCAACGCCCAGCAGCTCCGCCATAGCACTTATTTACGAAGCTCACTCTGGATTTTGAGATGTGTGAAGCTACTTTGTTTTTTCCTGTCTACTTGTTCTCTTTTATTTCTATTTAACTCTTCTTTTTATATCCACAATCTGCTCCATCTTCGCCTTGTGCCGTGTCACAGTTAATTGCCTTCGGTGTTTCCATGTCGGAGTCGGAGTCTCTCCGTTGCCGCTGCGATTCGCTRGGTGCCATACGCTGCAGTGGGCAACCATCAACCGTCAGCTCTCCCTCTCTCGTCGGGCGGATATGTGTAGCTGCCATCCGAGCAGTCTGGCATTTTGTTTGGCAGCCGGCGGCCGKAGTTTACACAACTGCATAGAACTTCCGTGTATTGTTTGCTGCGCCATTATGTGTTGGCGAATTGCATTTGCATAAATTTAAACACATATTGGCTGCGTATGCATGAAAACATTTCACATTTATGAGCAGCTACACCGCGGCAAATGGCAGCACTTTCCCAGTTTTTATCTCGGAACAAAGGGTTAAAATACTATTCCAACAAGTTTAGCGTTCCYACCTTATGACATGCCTCGTGTGCTCCAAATCAGAGGCATTCGCTCAACTCATTGTGAAGAACTTGGCGGTGTACCATCCTAATATTAAAATATATACTTTTCTTTTTCTTCCTCTGTTTCTGCGGCGTAAGTATTTAAACTGTCTCTAAGGTTCTTATAGAATTGGTGGCACTTTGCCTGCGACAACCTTAACCTTCTGGGTGAAACCTGTGTGCACCTCGCTCACTCAAGAGTTGTCAATCACACTTCAGCAGACGTGGAATATTCGAAACGCAAATGGCCCTCACAACTCTTTTTTTCTCGGTGCAATATTAAGTCCATGTGTGTGTGTGCCATAGTTTTTCTGCAGAAATTTCGCTTGTCAGTCGGAAGCTATGCGGATCATACTCGTGTGTGTGTAGTTGTTTTCTTTTATGATTGTTTGTTTGCGCTTTTATTAGCAAAAATAAGTAATAACAAGCCATAAGTTTCGAAAGTTTTACAATGTTATCTTCATCGTTAAGTTTTGTTATCTCTTTCTTAACTTTACAAATTCCCATATCAAATATGTCCGTCCACGTGCATATGTTAATGTATCCATTTAAGTCTGTGTGTGAGTGCACACRTACACATTTACATAAGCATGGATGTCTTCCAAGTTCCGTATTTATGTCTGTGCGCAATTTGAAGCCATAACTTACGGGGTTCTCCTTCTAAAAGGGTTTTCAATAGGATACTGTAAAAGTAGACCGACATTTCTCTTCAGTAGGGTATGTCATTTCATCATGGTACGATATACGATCCAACAGCGAATTGAAATTATTAAAATTTACTGCTGAAATTCGGAGTCAGTAGCCTCAACTTTTAATTTGTCGTCGTCATAATAGTGGAAAAATTTGAATCCATAGGCAAAAGAACGGAAGCCACTTGACAACCAAAACCGTCGTATGCTTGTGAATTTGAATTCGTCAATAAGCAAAATATGCGTTAATGGACAGGCGGCCACCCACACGTATTCCATTAGCCACCATTGCTTTCCGGAAAAATTAYGGTTTGGTGCGGTTTATGGGCCGGTGGCGTCATTGGGCCGTACTTCYTTCATGATGATCAAGACCGGCACGTTATTGTGGATGAGAATCGCCATCGCTCAATGATAACCGAMTATTTTTGGACAGAATTGAATGATTTGGWCTTGGACTAGATGTGGTTTCAGCAGGAGGGCACCGCACGCCACACAACGGATGTCRCAATCGATTTATTGAAAACCAAGTTTGTTGATTGTGTTATCTTACGAAATGGCGCAGTCAATTGGCTGCCTCGGTCGTGCGATTTGACGCCGTTAGACTGTTTCCTGTGGGGCTACGTCAAGTCTATGGTCTGTGCAAATATCGAAACTGAAATCCCACCCAGCAGTATCCCTGAAGTCCCGAACCCAGCAGTATCGGCCGATTTCTGCTTGAAAACCGTCGAAAATCGGGTTCAGGACTTGTGTTCACCTGCGTGTAGTAACATTGGCTTTTGAACTCAACTTGGCACCGATAATTTAATTTAATTACTTCGGTGTCAAATCTATACTAAGTAATGCCCGTTAAAGYCACACTGTGTGCTAATCAATTGACCGAGTTTTGTGTAAAAAAAAATCAGCGAAAAGAGAGGTGAGCTTTTGCTGTGATTTGATATCGAAAAATATTGAATGCGCTTCGGCGCCTTTGGACTAGGTAAGTGCATTACGAATTTACGAATTTGATGAATGCATTTGTCCTGAATAGTCTGCCTAATTACACGCTTTCACATTCGGTAACTCAATTAAGTAGAAAGCAGAGCCGAGCTGAGAGCGACTCATTGCGAAACGTTGGCTTTTTTGCACTTCACACTCAATTGGATGTCAGGATGTCAGGTAGGCAACGAGTATCCTCGGGCGCAGAGCCCACAAACACGCAGTCTTCTGAGCACAGTTATACACGTATAGTGAACATGTCAGGCACGTGGAGAGCTAACTGTCTAAATGCCATGCAAAAGCGAGCATTCAGTTGGAACATTGGAGTTTCCAGTTGCATAATTGCCGCTCGTATTTCTTTACTACCAATGCAGCGCTGCTTTTGGCTGTGCGCATGTGTGTGTGTGTGTGTGGCACTATGCGCCCTGTTTGCTGTGTATTTTAATGTAATCTGAGCATCTGTTTGTAATTAGAGAGAAAGAATAAACAAAATTAGTAGTGCATACGTGTGAATATTAGCCGTTTGGCTTTGCTGGCGTTTGCCTGGCATTTGGTACGCTTCTCAGTGCTCAGTTGCGAGTTAATTAGTGCATAGTAGTGGAAAAGCTTGTGAAAAAGAGGTGAAGGTGAAGTGCTGACAGCATTAGAAATTCCAGGCCAATCATGTGCGCCTTTCATTTGCTTCGTTGACATTTCTGCAGTCATTTCTCTCAGCGATTCGGCATACACACACAGTCACGACGGCATCTGAGGCATGCTGGAGAGCATGCAAACTAGTGTTGTTATATAGCTGTGTACATATATATTTGGCTTGAACTGCATTGAGGAAAGCGCGACTTTTTAAGTGATGCCAAAATTTAGAGCCAGCTAAAAATTAAAACTCAGGTGCAGCCGCCCTTGGAATATAAAGTAAGCAATACCTTTCTTGCAACGCCCACAAAGTTGCGAAAGTTCAATTGTTAAACAAATATATAAAATTGTAATATGTTTGTTTTTGTTTCTGCTTGCTTTTGTTGTTTCACTGCGGCTGTATGACAAATGGTCAATTCGGGCCAAATTGTGTTTCACATTATTAAAATACATGCACACTCAGTTGTAATATATAAGAAAATCATTTGGAAATAAAATAATTGTTATTGTAATTCTAAGGTACTGTCACGTAATTAAATAATGGTATAATTAAATTTAAGGTCGAGAGAAGTTTTCTATATTTGCCTTTGAGATTTCATATCTATTATTGCTATTATTGCTAGAAAAAGTTTATATTATATTGTAAAACAGAGTAAATTTCCTTTTCTGTTATGTTAAGAATTTAGCCAGAATAGCTTTTTGCTAATAATTATATATAAATAATAATAATAGATATGTAAATATTGGAATCATGCGCCGCCTTTCTAGAAAGTCTGTATCTATAATATGTATGCACACTTTTGTATTTTTAGCTGTATCGAGTGTTCGCCTCGAATTCATTATTGGCCACTTAATTGCCTTAGTCATTAGCCTTGAACACACACGCACACATGCACAAGCACACGCACACCTGCACACAAAGCGCTGGCGTTTCGGTTAACAAACACACACACGCACAACTCACAWTCAGTGAGGAAGAATTTCACAAATCCACTTCACTTCACTTCATTGGAAAATAAATTATTGAATAATCACTTTTCCAAAACACTTTGCAGCTAATTGCATATTAAAATATTTTCTGATAAGTACTATTATCATAAAAATCCCACACAAAAGTGGAGTCTTCAAAAGAACTAAGAGGGTGCACACCTTGACTATGAATTCACTACTGTCACACTTAAAAATTATTTTCAAACTGACATTTCGCCCATTTCCATGTTATCTCAAAGCGAAGAAAAATGTCAAATGGACCAGTGCCACACATGTACATATGTATGTATGTGTGAAAATGAGCATAATGTGGAAATGACTAAAAGCGCACAAGTCGTTTTAATCACTTTGCGCAAGAAGGCTCGAAAAAATGCTGCCCAGAGTGCAGAACGAAGAAAGATTGAAAGATTATTCTCAAATAGCTAAGGGGTTATATACAGCTAGAAGACTGAAAAAGAAAAAAACGAATTTTCCAAAAATTTTTCAGGGAAAACTTTCGAATTTATTGGTCCAAAATTTTTTACACATAAACCGTATTTTAAGAAATAATAAAAAAGGGTAAGCATAATAAAACTTTTTGACAAAACGTCGGTTTCTTAAAAAAAAATATAAATTTTTGAACAAAATTTCGGCCTTATATTGTTAAAAAAAATATTTTTCGGTGAAAAAACATCCTCGAATTTGAGTGCCTGGTAAAGCTTCAAGCCGAGCACAGTGCTTATTGAAATGAAAATCGTAAAAATGAACTTATGTGCTTTTCAGAAAAAGTTTTTTTTTGGCCGAATTCGCAGCCACACATGCGGTCCATGGCAAACTGTTTGTATTTATCAGTTCTCAACAAAATTTAATTCGGCGCGCCAGCCTCATATACGCCACAAAAAAAAAAAAAAACGCCTCAAGCGAAGAGGGAATTTCAAATTAGCAGATTTTTGAATACTATAAAATCGAAAGAGACATTTGATTTTGTTTTAAGCGAAGACAAATTCAAAATAAGGCATACGTGCGGTTTTAAGTACAYACATACTGTAAYAATATATTTTTCATAGCAGCTTTTCTTGGCAAATTTTCCGAACTGACATTGTGTACGTTTTTCATGCAAACTTCTTGTTTTGTTGGAGATTATACACAGTTAGAACTTTCAAAAATGCGATATTTTTTATTTTATTTTTTAAATTTATATATATTTAAGAATACAYACAGAAAATTTCATATCGTTTTGGTGAATAATTTCGAAGCYACAAGCAAATTTGAAAAGGCGTTTCAGAGTGCTTGGAAGTGCATTCCAAACTTTAAAYGSGKTTTTCTCAAATTGTGTTTTCAAAGACGGTAATCAATTACTCGAAAATGGCTAAGCCGATTGGTCTCAAACTTTAATACGAGTTCTTATATATATAATTTTTAGTTATTAACATAATATTTTTAAATTTATTTTGCCTATTCCTCCGACTAAGTACTACATCTATAATTACTTTAACGAAATCTGTTTAAATTTTTAATTTCAGAGGATTGAGTTCAGAGATATAGTGGTCACTGGAAACGTTTTTTTTTTCAGAGGAACTCCCGGAGGTCACCTGCAGTTCCTTTCCAAATAAAAATTTTTACTAATACTAAGTCTAAAATACTGTTAAAAATACCGTAATATGTGTAACATTTTTTGGATCAATAAATTTAAAAGTTTTCTCAAAAAATAGTCTGATAAATTTATTTTTTTCGGCCTTCTRGCTGTATTAAACAGMTTAATATTTCGTGTGTTAATTTTCGATTTTGGTAGAGGGGTAGTCGAGCGACTCATACCCCTTCCAAAGCACTTAAGCTAACTAAGCATCTCAGAAACGTACATATATATTTACTTATATAATAATATGTTTATTCATAAACATATAAATAAGTATTTATGACACATGTATAAGTCAATTTGTGTCAGCCCAATTGTGTACAACTCATAACTGCACAAATTCTCTTAGCCATACATACATATATACGTACGTATGTATAGAGTGAGAGCAAGCGGTTGGGTAACGAGTATTTCGAGAATCTTAATAATAATAAATATTTTGCTTTCAAATATAAGCAATGAGTAATATTATAATGAGCGTGTGTTAATATTCGATATTTACCTATTGTAAAAATATTCTCAATTCTCACCTCAGCGCATCGAAACCCACCACACTTGTGTGCTTCTCACTTTTATGGCAGTGTGTTAGATAAATTGTTCAATATATTGAGTGCGGAATGTATCTCTTGTACTTTCGAAAATTTTCATGCATACTACCTCTCACATATCTGCARAAACCTTGAAGATTACTTTGATGATTTTTTGTTTTATCTGATTTGAAATTCCGCTCATTATTACAAATTAAAGCAGCCAATGACGCAAGGGTGTTGGTGGCTCTTGTTCCATTTTTAATATGCTACAAATTAATAAGAATTCCTTAATGAAATTGATGTTTAGCGAATTGGATTTGGAATTGGAATACATTTTACGCCATTTGTATGGTATACTTCTGACTTTACAGTTATCGGAAAATAAAATGTGTGATTTCTGCAAATGTGTTTGCCATATCAATAATGACGTCGATTGATTGACTTWTTTTGAATACTAAACTAAAATAAAATCGGTTACTATTTTTAAGTATATGCAGTCGCTAGTCGTCTAGAAATCGTTTAGAAAGTGTTATGTAGTATTCAAGCTCACCTTTTTGAAGGTTGTGTATGTACATTGTGACAAAAAAGCAATCGGAAATTCTAATTCGCCATGTTTGTGACAAGAATTTGTCTCAAATATTGTATTCCTAACCAACGAATGTTGAAAAAGGCTTCGGTGATTCTGTTTTATTTAAAAAAAAAGCCTTCAAAGACGGTCGAGAAATGGTTTTGGACGGCCGTTGATCGCTTCAACTGCTGAAAATATTAGAAATGAAGAATATGGTGCTTAAAAGTTTTTGAAAGATGGCTCGACTTCTCTCGCGAGTACATTTGATGGATATTTTGGGTATGAAACGTGTTCTTGCTCTACTCACCCCGATAAAGCTAAATTCTCTACAAAAAGTGTATCGTTAACAGGTCTCTTTGGCTATGCTTGAGTATGCGATTTCCGATCCCACRTTCATGGAGAACATTATAACTGCCGATGAAACATGGGCTTATAAGTTTGACATGCAAACATGTCAACAATCATCGGAATGAGAGGGGRAAAAAAAGCCGAAACCAAAAAACCATGCCATAGTCGTTCCAAAATCAAAGATTCTTATTGCTGTTTTCGATATTCGTGATTTGGATTTGTTCCGGAGGGACAATGATTGATTGACCGTAGGGTCAATAAGGAGTTCTATTTGGACATATTAAGGCGTTTGGGCGAGAACATTCGTCGAAAACGGTCGGAATTGTSGAAGAACAATACAAGGATAATAGACGACCGCATCGAGCCACGATTGTAACCGAATTTGAAACCAAAAACGCTAACAATACCATCGATGAACCAGCGAATTCATCAGATTTTACTTCGTGTAATWTTTTTCTTGTTTCCCAAATTGAAATTGCCGCGTGAAACCCGTTTTCAGTCGATCGAAGTGAACGAAACTCGCTGAAGTAGCTGAAGGTCATCCCGAAAAATGCTAATGAAAAGTGATTCGTAAAATGTCCAACGATTTTGGCATAAGTATATTACATTTGGTGGAGATTACTTTGAAGGCGACAAAATAAATACCAATTGAGGAATAATAATTTTTTTTTTTGCGTTTTATTTACAATTTCCGGGTACTTTTTTGTGTGTAGATTTTCATAAATATGCCAGCATTTCGTAGGAAACTACCTGCGTCTGTGCGCCCAAATATGCAAAGAGGCCAATAACTATGTATGTATGCCGTGAATGGCGTAAACTTCGCCTCACTCATTTTGGAAACTTYTTGCAACTATATGATGTCCCCTGCACCCTCAACTGCTGTGGTTGTTGCAAATTGCCCACTGGCCCCACCCCCTTACTGGAACTTTGCCGCTTCACTGCTGCGGATTGCCTGTTTGGCTTCAGGTCGGCTTTCGGTGGCTTAAATTTTTATGCTTTTTTCTATGTAACATTTTATTACTGTTTTTCTGTGCTGCTGCATAAAGTTTTTATTTTTATAGTGTAAAAATATTGTGCGAATGGCGTTTTACAACTTTTTGTAATTTAATATATTTTTTCAAGATTTCTCTGTTATTATGGCTGTTGTTATCAATATTTTTATTTTCAGATTTTCTCTTTTCATCGTAATTCCTATTGTTGTTACCGTGTTGTTAGTGTTAATGTAAGTGTTGATGTTGCGTTTTTATTATAAATGACTGGAGAATTCTCGAGTTAGCATTTCGCAGAACTTGGCCGCAATGGATTTGCCACTGCTGTTGCCTGCGCCCATTGTTTCCACGAATTTTGTGCGCTCGCAACATATTGCTAAGAGTTCATTTGATGTGCTTAACCAACGGTTTTTTGTAACACCTAAATAATATTGGGAGATATATGCAGATTATGCGTTCAAAAATCAGGAGATGGATGAGGCATGCTGTTTTCGAGATGTGAAGAAATATAAGGCAATTCAACTACCGCAACAAAGTTTTTCATCGGGCTATRTTAAATTTGTGTGGGGTTCACAATTTATTAGTTTTCCAGACTTCGGTCGCAGCTAACTTCCGACAAGCCCTGATCGCTCTTAGTGAATGGCGTACTTAGAGTTAAACCACCCTTGCGCAGCTTCGTTCTGTACTATAGCAGATTAAACTCCTACTTATACAGAATGGACTCTGACATATCAAGTATATATTGAGCGTGCAATGAGTTGGTCACCTTTTTGTATGCGCTGCTAACCCTACTCATCTGACATGCTTCTCTCTTTGGCCCCATCCGGTCGCAGTTCCTGTGACTTCGACGAGAACTTATCTAAGCCTTACCATCCTAACGGGGATTAGGTACCCGTTACAACAAAAACAACAATAATAACAACAAAAAGTGTGTGAAACGAGCGCCAGAACTGCTAAATTCGACGATGGGATGATCCATTCGACTTTCATGTTTTTTAATTTTATTTTTTAAATTTTCGGTTGCGGCCGTAGGTAGACCCGCCCTGTTAGTTGTTTCTATTTTTATACACAGTAGATAGCTGTGTATGAGTGTACGTCTGTATGTCGTCGTTGCTGTGCTTGGAAAAGTTTTGGGCGCTGTTATAAAGGCGTGTTGCTGAAATTTAT